AAAAAAAAATAGTATAGGCAATTTTTTTGGCCCCTCTATTCGTCCCTATCAACCCTCAACCCTGTAGCAAAACCTCAGAATTCCCTGAGACCTGGAGCTCAAAGGCTGCGAGTCTGACAAGGTGCTTGAGCGGCGTGAGATAGACACCCCGGTGGCCGTGGATTCTGACACCTTGTCTTGCCCAGAGGGTCCTACGTACTGGATACTTCCCTAAATCATAGTAGTAATTCCTAATACAGAAACCCTACATTCTACCATAAGGTACTTTGGACCCTTTGGATTGACAAAGCATCAAAAAGACCTAATTACCATAGTGACCGTTTCGCAGACGCGGGTCTCTCAATGCAAGGTCCAGCCTCCAAGACCCTAAACTCTACCTGAGTGTCCTGCTCAGCAGGCTGTGCTCTAGGGTTCAGGTGCGCTCTGTCGACAGGAGGTGCTCGAACGGGGATTGTGCAACGGGTTGGGTTTAGGCCCAAAGTCTAGGCCCCCAGACAACAACTTCTGAAGAATCGTCAGCATTGAGAACGACTTTGTTCCTTTATAGTCCTACACGCAGGAAAATGCGAGTTCATTCTGGGGGCAAATATGCAAAATCCACAAACAGAATCAGCCCTGCAATTAAGTGGTCTACAGGGTTCTCGTATTGGAAGAAGCGCCGATGACGGTGGAGGGGGTGGGGTAAGCGTGTACGTGTCTGTGTATATATACATAAACTGTATGTACATATGTATATGTATGTGTATATATATATATATGTATATGTATATACATGCAATGACATGTGATATGATATATGTACATGTAAGGGGCTGGGAAACCGCTGGACAAAGACTAGACTCCGGGGGGTTCAGTTCAGGGTTAGGAAGTGGATGGCCCGACTGCGCCGTGCGCGGGTTTAAAATGACGCGCTGATGCAAATCGGACTTTGGTGTTAAGGGCTAAACCCTTTAGGTTTTAGGGCTGTAGCTTGAGAGTTCGGGAGCAGGGTTTGGAAGGTTTGGGAGATCGATTCCTAAACCTATAAACACTAAGCAGGCCAAAAGCCCAGCCCGCCGCATGAGACGCCTTGAAGAACTCTGGAGCTCCCTCAAATCTGCAGCCCCGAACAGTAAAATTGAAGGCACTGTTTCGGTGTCAGGCTCAAGGCTTTGAGATGGAGTTTTCAACTTGGATTCTTGCGGAGAAGCGGTTTAGATTTTCGGCTTGAGGCGTGGGACTTCTGATCCATCCACATCTCTGCAGCCCGGCAAACTCCAACTTTCACGGCAGCCCAGAAAAACAACAACCTCAGCCCTAAACGTCCCTAAGCCCTAAATCCTCAAAAAACGATCCTGTGGTAACCCGGTAACCCTTGCTGGGCAGGTGTGGCATAGCCGGCCAAGTCGCTTGCGACACCGAGGTCTTCGTGAGAGCCATGGTAGCCGGACTACTTTCCTTAACGGCTCATGGCATATACTTTATATAGTATGTAAAGTATAACATCGTATATTACAGTATAGTATAGTAGAGTATAGAGTATAGCATATAAAGTATACATGCATACATACATGCATGCATACATAAATACATAAATACATACATAAATACATACACACATGTATATATATATATATATACATGTATAGCATACATAAATACTATGTTACTATATAGTGGATAGTATATAGTCTATCGTATACAATCTAATATAATCCGTAGCAAATAGTCTGTAGTAAATAGTATATAGTATACAACGTAAAGTATAGTGTATGTAGTATACAGCATGGTACGGCATAGCATACTTTAATATGCAGTATAGTCTAGTGTAGTATAGTATAGTACAGTATAGAATGCTACGGTATAGTAGAATGGAACATACTACAAGACTCAATGTCTTTTCTACGATAGTCCAAGGTGAGAGTCAGGTTCAGGCAGGCTTACTTACTTTGGAGACGAGTGCCTGATTTTCGGCTTGAACTGTCTCTGCTTCTAGACAATGAAGACCGAAGACACGGTTTAGGGTTTAGGGTTTAAGGGGTTCAGGGGTTTATGCACGAATGCTTGAATTTGGAAGCCTCCGCACCGAAACTCTGTTGACCTAGCACCCCACCCAACACTCTAGCCGTCTTGGCTGTAGCGAAAAACTTCGACTAGTACCGGCTAGTTCCCTAGAAACACAGAGGCAGGCCGGGATTGCAACTGAAGCCTAAGGCGTCCTACTCCCGACAAGTTGCAACGTCCCAGGTTATCAACTTTATACTTCAGCCAAATCCTACCCTGACCCATGTAAACCCGGAACCCTGAAAACCTCCGACGCACACCCTCGTAGCCTACACTCCAAAACCCTAAAGCCCCTAGCAGAACCCCAGCCGAAAAAATGATACCCGAACCCGGCACACTAACACCGGACCCTGCAACATCTAGAATTATATATAAACCTTATAGAACCCCTCGGGCATCCTTCTGGAGAACATTATGCAACCAGCACCATTATGGTAACCCTTAATACAACCTGGACAGACGCCTTCCACGCCTGCTAGAGGCCGTATGTGGCTTGTAGAGCCTTGATACCAACGTCTTTAAAACCCTCACAGGCCCCTTATATAGTCTCCAGTTTAGTCCCTAAACCCTAAACCTCGTGGCCGTTGTGGTCCCCTAAAGCTTTCACTCCAAAGCGGCTGGAAACTCAAGGAGCTCCTCCTGTGTGAGGGGGCCCGGGACTTTGGGGGGGGGGGGGGGGGGNNNNAGGGGTTTGGGCTCTGGGGGTTTTAGGGCACTCGGGGGAGTTTTGTAAAAAACTTGAAAGAAATTCGGGGTTTTAGTGGCTTCTTGGACTTCGGGCGCTTAGCGATCTTGGCCGTGCGAAGGGGTGGGGCGTTCGCAATGCGATTCAACCGCTCACTTCTCCCCAAGGCTCCATGTGCCCAAATAGTAGATTAACAAAAGTAGTATAAAGCGACTACTGTAATTTGCTAGTCCAAAGTAAATACTACTTGGGTTAGGGTTTCAAAGCCTTCGGGCGCAAGGGTTTAACTGGGATACCGGATAGTTTTCATCTGCCGACGCACTGAACCCCTAAGCTCAACACCCGTGCCCCCAAAGCCGAAGCCAAACCCTAAAGCTCGAAAGACCAAACCCTGGAGCCTGAAACCTACAGGCCCAAACCCCTACACCCTAAACCCTAAACCCTAAACCCTAAACCCTAAACCCCTACACCCTAAATCCCCAAATAAGCTCGAAATCTCCAAACCCGACAATCTAAACCCCACAACAATTGAAGGCTGCTTAATTACCGATGCAGCCGCTATAGTTCCCCCAAAAACCCAAGCCCAACTGTCTAGGCCCCTAGACTGTTGGGCCCTTATGGTAACTATAATACACATACCTGACAGAAGCCTTTTTTCTAGGACGTATATAGGGATATCTAAACTTAAGCCCTGCACCCTTAAAACAAAAACCTAAACCCTGCACCCTAAACCCAAAGCCCTGCACCCTAAACTCCGAAACCCTACACCCTGCACCCTAAACCCAAAGCCCTGCACCCTAAACCCTACACCCCGAACCCTAAACCCTGAACCCTGAACCCTATGAGACTTCAGACGCGCTGCCGTTTCGGCGATGGAAACGGCTGAGCTCCGAGGCTTCAAGGGAAGCCGCGGCAACATTTGAGCCCTGGCCGGGTTTAGGGGCATAGGGTGGGTTTGGGGTTTTGGGGTTTAGGGTTCAGGGATTTGGTTAAAGTTGAGGGGCATAAGGTTTAGGGTTTTGGGGTTTTGGGGTTTAGGGTTCAGGGATGTGGGGCTTCTGAAAGGGACCTATAGTCTCCATGGTAGTCCCTGTTTTTGGTCTAACCAACTTTATACTAAGGATCCCTGAACCCTAAACCCGAAAAAGGCACTACAATGGAGACGATAGGTAGGGTGTAGGACTTTTGGGGATTAGGGTTGAGAGTTACTGTAGGCTTTGGAGTTTAGACGGGTTTAGGTTTAGCTTTAGAGTAAAGGATGGCTTAGGCTTGGGTTTAGTGTTAACGGTTTCGGGTTTAGGGTTTCGGGTTTAGTGTTACGGGTTTAGCGTTTTGGGTTTCGGGTTTAACTGAACCCTCGGCAGCCTTATAAGGGATTGTATTCGGCTCTGGAAGCTCGGACAATGCAGGCCAGGGGTGGTATGAAGGTTCAGTGCAGTTGGAGTTCTAGTGTACCAAGTAAGGGTTTATAGGGTTTAGGATGTTAAGGCTTCGGGGTTTTTGGCGCTCACACTCGGACAAAGCCAGTGGGGTGTTCGGTTTTGGAATCACTAAAGTTCAGGGGTTTGGACTACAACGTTGAAGGGTTTCGAGCTCAGGGTTTAGGGCTTGTTCAATAAATGGGTTCTTGTTAAGGGACTTAATTTATCTAAGTTATCATAATAACAAACAATATTATTTGCTATAGATCCCTATTATTACGATTTTGGGGGTTCTTTATTATACTTATAGTATAATGGGCCCCAAAACCCTATTCTAAATATTAAGGCCTCTATAAAAATTATGGTACATTCCTTAACCCAGATCGTGAGCTTAGGGCCTGGAGTCCTGCAAGCTGTGCACTTTTCTGCGCCCAAAAAGCCAAAAGCGCATACCCTGAACCCTAAAACCACAAACCTTAAACCCCAAAGCCCCAAACCCTCAACTCTCAAACCCCAAACCCTAAAACCCCGAACCCTCAAGTTGGGCGTTCGGTTCGGGGCGCTGAGGTCTGGAGTCCCTTTGGGGTCCTGCACTGGAGCAAATCTCGTATGGCATATCGTATTCGCTCACAAGCTGTGGCTGAATACATCCCAGGCCGGAAAAGCACAAGACCAGCCACTGACGGCGCGGCGGTAATCTAGAAGCCTAAATAATTACCTAACCCCCAACCTATTCCAATCATTAAGGCCCCTATAGTAAAAACCCTATTCTAATCATACTTCTAAGGCCCCTATAGCCGACGACATTATTCTCGGAGTCCGAAGCGCTCAAACCTCCAAAAAAAAGTTTGATCCAAGAAGCTCCTGACCTCGACCTCGAAGCTTCGGGAAAACCCGGCGATTACAGCAACACTCAGTAAATGTAAGGGCCTTAATAACGAATAGGGTTTTGGGGTCTGTTAGAGTACAAAAAAATAATAAGGAGCCCCCACAAGAATATAGGTAATTATTTAAATTTAGGCCCCTGTAGTACGCAAACTGGCGCCAAAGTCGATGCTCAAATTCGGGATAAACATTGCACCCTTTAGAGTCCTGCAATATAGCCCCAAACCGTAAGAGCCCGAAAGCCTGCTACTACCGCGCCTTGGCGTGGCCTGAGGGGAGGTCGAGTCCCGAGGCGTTGTCAAAGGGGACGGCCCGCCCTCCTCAAGAAGTGTTGTAAAAACGGCAGCAATAGACAGATGAACAGACAAAATGAATTAGGCACACAACTAGGTGGATGATAAAGTCAACCCCACAAGTGATAGAATAAGGTACATGTTCATTCACGGCGTAAGATCATGTATGTCTCTCTCTCTCTATCAGCCGCGACGCAAGTATGTCTATGCGGAGTAAACCCATCCTCCCAAACAAACAGAACAGCCTCAAATTTTAGGGCTTTGAAGTTATGTAAGCCAGGGTCGAGGGCTTTCGCTGTTGGGCTGTTTTTCGTCTCCTGTATGGAATTGTCGGCCACTGGGGGCTTTGAGGTTCGAAATTGGGGGTGGGGTGGGGAACCAGGCTAGAACGGCAGAGCAGCTGCGAATTCCGAAGCCTTATCAAAGCCTTCAATCCCTATAATCCTTGAACCCTAAACCGTGCACTCCTAGGGTTTAGGGTTTCGGGGCCCGCACTGGGCCTAAACTCCCTATAACCCTAAACTGGCGTTGCAGGTGAGAAGCAGGCTCACGTGGAAAGGCGTAGCCTGCAAAGGCGCTCACGGCCGTCGTGGAGGTAATTGGAAGATCGACAGCCTGGCAAAGCAGTCCTCCCCACCGTGTGATAGGATTCCCTCCTGCTTAGCAAGGACGAGCCCGCATTGCAGGGTACGTCAAGTTTATAGTAATTCAATTCGATAGAAAAGCCACGTGGCACTACGGCCAGAAAGCCAAGCCGGTTCTCCCTTGTTCTGTGGCACACTTTGCTGTAGCAGGTTTCTTAGGGTCCTTAACAATTAGATATTAGAATAGGTTTTTGAGGTACATTATAGCAAACAAAAACAGTAACATGCTAAGGAATCCTTCATAATCATTAAGGCTTCTATAGTACCCCCCCCCCCCCCCCCAATATCCCATGAGGCTCATCGCGTTGACTGTAAGGGAATAGACAGTGGATGCAGTGGCGAAGGGGAGGAAGCTGTCTCCAAGACAGTTCATACAGGAGTTGAATTCTCAACGAAAAACTGTTCTTCCCTCTGAGGCTCCTTTTGAATTTCCAACAATTTCAATACAACAAGCCATGGGCAACCAAATTGAGCAGTATGGCTAGACATTAGCGCAGCGTAAGCGGTAATAGTAGCAGCAAGGACGCAAGGACATTGGATCGAAATATGCACCCCCGGTGCAAAGGGCTGGGACACCCGCCCAAACTCTAGGCCACAAGCTGTACTCCTACAAGTGCGCTCGATCTGACCCGGCAACTACTTTGCGGCCGCCTCCGAAACAGTAATCTGTGGGGGTGTCGTGAAGGAGGTCGTCCGAAGAATGCCTCCAAGGTGGCTGCAAGCCGGGGAGCTTGATCAGAAGTATGGCTATGAGCTCTTGACCACAAGCGCAAATCCTACACTCCTAAATCCTAAACTAAACCCTAACCCTAAATCCTCAACCCCAAATCCTAAACCCTATAAGCCCAAGCCCTAAACCCTATAAGCCCTAAGCCCTAGACACCTCAATCCAAATCCAAGCCCAAAGGACCTCAGCCCTGAGTCCAACAGCTTTATATTAAGCCCGATTACAAGGGGGTTTAGGGTTTCAGCACTCATTCTCGGACTTGCCTAGGGTTTAGGATTTCAAGGTTTAGGACAGGATTTTCCGTAGGGCTAAGGAAAGCTTGAAACCTAGGATTCTAGAAGGCTCGCCTTTGCGTCAGGACTCCCTGTGAGGGACACTTTCCCAAACTATAGTAGCATGGGGTTTATGAAATTAGGGTTCAGGGCGTAGAGATGCTGGCGCCCAGAATGTGGGCTCGTTTTGGGCTTGGGTTTCCCTAACTCCAGGCCCAGAAATGTGTCCAGCCCCGAGCCCTAAACCCCACAGCGCTAAGCCCTAAGCCCTAAACTTGCAAAACCCCCAAACCCTGCCGTAAACCCCGAGGATGAAAACCCTAGGCTCCGCCTTTGCGGCGACCTGAGATGGGACTGCCTGGCTGCGATCCCTCCGGTTGTGACAGCTGATATTCCGCTCGGTTACCTTGGTGCTCAGAGACAGAAGGCTGTGTAGAATTTCCGAGCTCTTGTTAAGGGTAATTGTGCTAACCTAAATTAAACTTCCTGAACAAGAACCCAGATTTGGGGCTTGGAATTTTGGACTATGAGGCTGTCGGGTTCTGTGGCGGGCTAGGGCGCTTGCATTTCCACGAACAGCGATGCGGCACGATCTTAGCAAGGTCGAAAGCTCACAACAACATACAACAGCCTAAACCCTAAACCCTACACGAACGGAACCTAAACCCTAAACCCAAAAAGCCCTAAACCCTAAAACCCTAAACCCTAGACGAACGGAACAAAGAAATGGTCGAATCTCGCGCCGTTTTACCATGGCCGTACTTCCTCATCTGCTTAACGCGAGACTTCAGATTTCAACATACAGAGGCTGGCAAGAGGAGAGCAAGAAGCAAAAGTCACATATGCCCCTGCGGCTTCGAGATCTGAAGCCCTGAACACCAAACTACCAAATCACGAAGACAACACCTCAACCTGCCCTCCACTGAGATCCCGAACTGGAGGTTTCGAGCCACCGATGCTTTGAACCCACTGAGCAGTATAAGGCCTATGTGCCCTGAACGCAGGTGTAATACATGCACGCATGTTGTAGGCCACCCCAAGGTATCAGAGCTAAACTTGAAGTTATACATGCTATGTTAGCTAATAGCTAATAATTACCTCGACAACTTAGATGGGACTCAATAGCGGCCCTATAACCACCTCTAAGACTCTACGACAAGACCAGCCGCGGTTTTCCATGAGCGAAGCTCTTGGGGCCTTCGCAGCCTCCCGCCGGTTCAGTTCGACCTGCACCCGACTCAGCCTCAGATCCGCCCAGGCGAAAACAACGCACGTGTGTATTTAAGAGTCCATGCATGCATGTCTGCATGTCGTGTGTTTATGCAAGTAACTAGGTAGGTAGGTATGTAGGTAGGCAGGCAGGCAGGCAGGTTAGGTTAGGTTAGGTTAGGTTAGGTTAGGTTAGGTTAGGTTAGGTTAGGTTAGGTTAGGTTAGGTTAGGTTAGGTTAGGTTAGGTTAGGTTAGGTTAGGTTAGGTTGGGTTCGGTTCGGCTAGGGTAGGGTAGGGTAGGGTTGGGTAAGGTAGGGTAGGGTAGGTTAGGTTAGGTTAGGTTAGGTTAGGTTAGGTAAGGTAGGTAGGTAGGTGGGTGGGTAGTTAGGTAGGTAGGTAGGTAGGTAGGTAGGTAGGTAGGTAGGTAGGTAAGTAGGTAGGTAGGTAGGTAGGTAGGTAGGTAGGTAGGTAGGCAGGTCGGTAGGCAGGTAGGTAGGTAGGTAGGTAGGCAGGCAAGCAGGCAGGTAGGTAGGTAGGTCGGTAGGTCGGTAGGTCGGTAGGTCGGTAGGTAGGTCGGAGGTCGGTCGGTAGGTAGGTAGGTAGGTAGGTAGGTAGGTAGGTGGGTAGGTAGGTAGGTTGGTAGGTAGGTAGGTAGGTAGGTAGGTAGGTCGGTCGGTCGGTCGGTCGGTCGGTCCGTCCGTCGGTCGGTCGGTCGGTCGGTCGGTCGGTATGTATGTATGTATGTA